CTAGTTTTCCGGGGCGGCTGGCCGTGCACTGCCAGCCGCCGTACTGCCTAGGATCTGCACCGGCACATACTGCTGAATGCTGGACGGCGGGGGGCCAGCAATTGCTAGATGGTGCACCGGTTGAGGTGGTCGCGATGTGTCAGCACGGTAAAATCGGCTGTTGTGGTTGTCAAATCGATGCTGCGCTGGACCTATAGACGAAAAGTGGCCACCGGAATGATCAGTTACCATAGGACACCATCGGCTTATATGGCCCGGCGCACCACAGGTATGACATACAGGCTGACCATCAATACGCGGGCGGTGGAAATGAGACCTGCCGTTCCCTCGGCCACCGGTGCTTGGAAAGCGGTAGCTTCGCCGCTGGTAAGAGTTTTGTTGGTAGCGATGGTTGTTCCTGTTGCCATTGTGAAAGCGCGATCCTGTCCCCTTATCGGCGTTGTTTATCTTACTCACTGCATCCTGGATTGTCTGCGTAAACTGGGCAAAAGCGTTCACAATACCGCGATCGTCAGGCGAATTGGCTAGAGTAGCCAATGCGAATGGATTGCCAACTTTATTATGACCGTTCTTATTAGCGAGTTCAATGGACTTCTTGTAAGCCTCCTTAACGGAAACGCTGCGCAAACGTTCGATGAATGCGGTGACGGTCTGAGGTGTATTAGAAACAAAATGTGGCTTAAACTCAAGTGGCAGTGATTCGAAAAGGCGGGACTTGACTTACCAAGGGTGGAGGTGGGGACGAGGTGGTAAAGCGGAAAAAAAAATTGACAGCGGATATCGGCTCGGGTGACCTTTCCGACGAAGCGAGGTAGTTTCTCGGTATGCGACTCCAAGTGTGGCGAGGAACGGCAGGAGAAAATATAATACTCGGCAAATAACTTTAATACTGAACCGAAACTGAAATGCTGACTCTCTGCTGGAAATATCGTACTAACATGATCTTATATACTCCCGAAAACGGGGCGGAACATAGATGCTGGAGCAAACATAGAGGCGTATCATACAAGTACAAGAGGAGGGATGATTCCCTTCACATGGCAGTAATTGTGCGCACTGGTGACGTTGCGGAAGACCGCTGCCCACCAGCGACTGTCCACGTGCAACAGTTCAAACCCAAAATCAGGGCCGTGTCGCTCTCACTGGTCGACCGCCAGCCCGAAGCGCAGGGGATTAAGAGACAACCGGCACGTCTTCGCCGCGGCGCTGGCAGCTATTATATCGTACCAAAACCGCAGGGTGCGAGGAGCTCCATAAACGCCGGATTACATATGCGCACAGAGTACCGGCATTTTGTACACGCAGCGCTTAATTTACTGCGTATGCAGTGACCAATCAGCATCACGCAACGATGCCGTGACACAGCATTCAATATTTGTACAAATACACTGCAGTGAGTGCACCTGCGGCAAAGCCTTAGCTGTTTTCGGGCACAACCTTGTCAGTATGTATATGAGTCATTTTCAGAGGCTTGCGTGTTTAGACTTGTGGGTTTGTTTTCAAGCAGCTGCTATAAACTGATTTGAGCAATTTGGTACCTAGTTGGTCTTTGGTACTAGGCACTTCACATTTTCATCAGAATTGTGACTGCTACTTGTTTTTATTACTTGCTTTTTTGACCAGCATGTATTTGTACGACTAGAATCACGTGGTTGGCCAAAACGAACGCTATCTATCCAAGCGTGGAACGCAGTGAATGTGGAAGTGGACGGGCTACTGCAACACGGCCATGTCGTTGGCTTGGAAGACATCGAAGGCCGCTCCCCACGTCTGCTCATCGATTTCGGCTGTCCAGGGCAGACGTCAGCACTGGTGGAGTATGGCACAGTGTTCCGCGTCCCTGGAGAGCGCATAGACACCAGGAATGTTTTCAAGACGGGGAAGAAAACGTTGCGTCGATTCCCCACCGATGCAGCAGCTGCTGAAGTGGAGGTATTGATGCGCGCCCATCCTGATCAGCCGTGGAAGTGGTATGCGGCGAAACTGCTCATGCGTATCGACTCGACAATCGAGGACAACCAAGGGTACCCCGAGTCCCGTGACGGTTACTGTTGGCGATACGTTCTGGTGGAGGTGCAGTTAGCCGGAGAGTGCGTGCGCGAACTCCTTCCCCGTGCCCAGATGCGTTGGCCGCCTTCGGCAGAAGCGCAACTGAAACCGATTCCGGGTCGTTTTGTTCTGACATCATGCAGCGTGCCAAATGGAACTGGACGGCCGATACGGCCGTCAAAGACTCGCTCCGCTGTTTACTGGAGAACAGGCATGAAGTGCGCGTTCTTTCCGTTCTCAGTCGGAAGATAGCCCTTCTACGGTGATTCTACAAATTTGACTTACCCATCTCCGGTGAAGATGTGGTAGGTTCTATCCAACAAGGTGTGGTGTAGTAACTTTTTCACTTGTTCTGACTTTCTCTATTTGCACAGGCGGAACTGTGGAAAAAGGCTCACAAATATAAGGAGGCTATTGAGTCAGAAAAATCAGAAGCAGAGGAATTTTCAGAAAAGACCAGGGGAAAGCATGCATCCAGAGAGGTTAATAACCGAAATCGCTGGTTGCCGCCGGAACTCCTTGCCGAGATCTTCCACTCACTAGTTACCGTGGACCGACTGTGTTGTCGCTGCACTTGTTATCAGTGGAACGAAAATCTCACGTCGAACGAGCTGGTTTAAGAAGTTCGTGTATCGCTGAAGAAAAGGATTTAAGGGGATTTGGGTTGCTATTACGCCGCGTACGCTTGTGTTGTCAAGCACATCACACCGGCCACGCGGGCCCTTTGCATCCGGGATGGAGAGGATAAATGCGGGATCAATCACACAACAACTACCATGGCGGATGAGCTACTCACTCATATAGTACTAGTAGTAAGCGTTCTGGAGAATAAGGGAAGTCGCATCGACTGGCTGATTCTGTACAATCGACCGCTGCGCAACACCGATTACAACTGTGATTTGTCGGAGCATTTCAGTGAAGTTGCGAAAGCGTATTCCGACCTGGCGCCGTGTTGTGATCGGGTTATTTGGAGGAATTATTCTCTGAGATTTGATAACTATGATTCTGGCGAAATGGAGTTTGATGTTCCCTTGGCTGTGTTCAATCTGCGCAGTTTTGAAAAGGCGACGATTTGGGACGTGTACGAAGAACATCTCCGTTGGAATGGATGTGAATTCGAAACAGGTCAGAAGGGGGTAGACGAGGTGATCCCAGAACAGCAGGAATCGGAATCGGAAGCGAATCCGTAAGGTATGGTTGATACATGATGGCGTATTTAATCAGGAAAGACTTTGCGGTGGAGAAAATCTAGCTTATCATGAATACGAATATGAAAAACCCCAATATACAGCCCTGCTACGCCAAGTTCGGACAGTAACAAATATTTCTCATCTGCGACCGTTGATATCTGAACTTCTGATTTAATTTTTTTATGATAGATTACAATCAACAGCAACTTTCTAAATTATGTTTCTATGCGAAAAGCTACCATGCCGGAAACGAGAGCAAAAGTTTTACTTGCACTTTTTTTCAAAAAAACGCGCTGCTTACGAAAAAATCACCATGTTCAATCAATAATTCTTTAAAAATTCTGGAAAATTGGAAACTTCCAAGTGGCATTGCGATTTACTAACGGTCCCTTTCTAACATCTATTGAAGTACTAACATCTTCACGAAACCGATCAGCGCACTAGGCAACCACACTCTTCGGGAGGTACCTTTTAACATGCAAGTCTATGGGTGACAGATCTTCCTTCGAAATCACCTGGCGCACCGATCGCGTAGTACTCTTTTGTTAGCCCGTGCTAGAGACCTTGTCGGTCACTGAAAAGATTTCGCTAATGTTCGCACAAAACTATTGATTGGGGATTTTACGGGAGTTGCCGATATAAGCAGTTCGGTAATGACCCTCACCCCAGCCCTTTAATTTGCTCCTGTCTTCTCGCTGACAGATCACAAGATTCCGAATTTGATATTGCCAGATTCGCGATAAAACGTTATACTAGAAAAAATAAAAGAGCTGCACAAAACGTGAAAAACGAATATTTTATCATTTATTTTCAAAAGTGTCCGAACTTGGCGTAGCAGGGCTGTATTTAAAGAAATTATTCTGTTCTCCTCTGTCCGCCAAAGCAGTACGCACGACTGAGCAAAATTTCAATGGTGAAAGTAAAACGTTAATATCAATGAAGTCCGCTGTGGCCGTATACGATGCTCAGGTAGCGTTTGACTAGGTGAAGACAGCACAGACTTTAAAGGCGCTTTGATTAGTGCCCCCGGCAAACTAATCATACGGTGTCCCTCAAAAGTCCCCTGCACTGTAGTTGCAGTTAGCGGACACTCAGTACAACCGGTGATTGTTACTCACTCAACTGTATAGACTGTACATGAAACATGCGTTGCAATAGGACTTGCACACGTGTACGTTCTGTGTGATCATAGAATTACTTGGTTGCTGTCAAATTAAAGGTTAAAGATAAAGATTAATATATATAATATATATTTATTAATAATAATTAATATATATAAGATAAAGATTAATATAAAGATACATAAAAATGAATTAAGTTCTAATTCTCTTGTAAGTGTTTCGATTTTATTTTCCGTACTAACCACAGCGGTACACAGGACGCTTGCTACTTTAAATTTATTTCTAAAGATATTTCTCTTACATTGTGGTCAGTGCAACAGTGTCAGATTGTTTTTATCTGCTTTTTTGTAGGTTCTTGAGGCTTACCAAAGCTGCGATCCGCGCCCATCCGTGCATTATTCCGGTCGCCAGTGGTCGCGGAAGAATTTAGGAGGCCTGTACCTTCGCAAGTTGAATAAAGTGTGTTTATTTGCTTTGAGTCACTGAGGTATAGATACTGGGTGGCTGTTTACGGTATCTGTAGATATGACACGGAATGATAGCAAATAGAATGAAAACCCGGAAACGATTTAAATTCTGATGTTTATAATTTGGTTAGCTTGTCACTGAACCGTATGGTCACAGCTCCGTTACTCGTTAGTGCTTTTGTTTTATTTGTGTATCTGCTTAACAATGTCTCTGTTTGGTTGAGGGCGAAAATTTTGCAGAATAATTCTATAATCATGTGGAAGAATTGATTCTTTTATTCGGTCTTAACTATCATATTTTCACTGTTGCAATGAATGCTCAACAGCTGCTTTACGTTTTTTTATACAAAGGTCATTTTTTGGTATGAAAATAGTTGGAGAGAATAAACTTTTTGTCAAAAAACAACAAGTTTCAAGTGCTCTTTAGGTATTTTGTATTATTGTAAGAGAGAGCAAGTTGCACAATATATCTCGCACGGTTTAAGTGAATTCCGCCCGCGTGTGCACTGCGCAGTGGAAAAACGTGCTTTTGACTCGTCATTCAGGCTGAGAGGAGCTCTGCCCTTCGATGGACGTCTTCAGTGAAGTACATAATATAATTCCGCCTTCGTAGCCTCGCAAACAGCGGCATTACGCGGAGCATTGGACGTCGTGCATTTTCTGGTGAGTGTCACGCATCATCTTCACTCCCAGACAGTGGGAGCACAATAATTTCTGATTCAGAGTAAAACTGGATGCTGACTGCCGGAGTATGTAACAGAAGTGCGACCCTAAACCAGACAACCTGCAGAAATCCGCAGCCCACACTGCGCAGGCCGGCGTTCAAGGACAAGCGGAATCCGGGTCGCAATATTGATGCCGTCCTGGCGGATAGCAGCGTGACCGTAATTATACGCCGGTTATGATGAGCCGTTAATTAACCCATGATAACACTGATGAAGATGGGGATGTATACAGTACTGTATAGCCTGGAAAAACGCTTTCACTGTTCGGAGTAGGTGAGGTCTCAATTAATAGCTGCGATTTCGTTGAATGCACCAATTCCCCCGCCTGCATCTGAGATACAAAATGCGATGTTCAACACTTTGTTACAAACCGGCATCCGCGGGAGTCGAACCGTTTCGATAATCCGGATTATCCGGCAAATATATGCCGATGATAAGTGGATGGCAGGTTGTTCAGTGAGACGTTGAAGAATTGGAACAGCGCGTTTGTTTTATGTACAGAACCGTTGAAGGTGGCTTGGTAATTCTGATTAAAAGCGCTTAAGAAAGCACTTATCCACAAGGTACGAATGAAAGCCAAAGCGAATGACCAAACTATGAAAATTGCTTGGTAGAAATATTGCTTGAACGCTGAAACGATGAACGGCTTATCTTCCCACATGTTGTTCGGAAGCACGGTTTTCAGCTCATTATCCTGCGCTCGCGGCTGTTTGCTTGCTATAATCTTGAACGCACGACATTGCACAGAAATGATCACGCAATATACGTACGCGGCATGGGAATTGCACAGAATGGAACAAAACGCTCGATGCTAATGCTTCGAGTTACCAAAAGCATAATTAGTACTGTATAGTACGCGAACTAACGCAAGGCAGACTGCGAAGATAAGTCGTTTAAAGTGGAAAGCAGTCTGATAAGATATGATAACACGCTAATAACTTACAATACATCACTCATTTAATACACTGCGTCTGACATTATTTTCATTGATGTTACCAGCATTGCATTTTAGCCTTATGAACACGTACAGATACGGCAGTATTGGACTTCTTTTAAAAATATTCCAAACGGGGAGGTGAGAAACACCAACATGCGGCATTTATACGAAAACGGTGAACGCTCTGTTTACGCATGGAATGCGGTAGACGTTGAAGTGGACGGACTGCTGCAGCACGGCCATGTAATTGACATACAAGACGCTGATGGCAGAGAACCGCAGTTGATTGTTAATTTTGGAAGCCCAGCACACGAGTCAGTATTGGTGAAATACGGAAAAGTCTTCGACTGCTCCAGCAGGAGTGCAGACGAGAGATCGACCTATGGCCGACCAAGCCAGAACGTCCAACGTCCGAAAAAGCGCCAACACACCGGCAATGGCACGCTCTTGGACTGCTTTATGTTGGATTGTGCACCTGCTGTACAAGCATTACTCTGCGAGCGTTCCGATCAACCGTGGAGATGGTTTCCGGCAAAACTCCTTCTGGTCCGCGTGGAAGCCTTGAAAAACTTTGCTCTAGTGGACATAACGTTGGCTGGTCAACCCATTCGTGAGCTGCTACCCTACTCGCAGATCCGCCAACCGCCTTCGGCAGAGGATCTTCGTCGCAGAAGGCTTCAACCAGGGGACTTTTTTATAACACTTAACAGTTTAGACGACCGGTACCTGACGGCGGAACCATCGAGAATCGCGTTACCCTCCCGTCAAGAAGGGCAACAGGAGTGCCGATTGGTCGCGTATCTTCGCTACAAGAAACGACGGCGTGGTATGCCGGCGCTGAACGACAAATCTGTAAGTCTCGCAGCTCCTTAACCCCGATTATAGAACTGTTTAAAAAATTTCAACAGGTCTATTGCGATGCGGGACTTGATAACCTCAACCAGGACTTTCAGGACGATTTTGACTGCGGTATGTATACCGACCGCGAGCACGGTTTGTTCCTGCCAGTAGTACTTTTGATGGAAGTCTTCCAGTCACTGGACGTCATCTATCGGCAGCGATGCAGACGCACCTGTCGATTATGGGAGGATATTCTTAGTTCTCCACAACTTCTTCAGGTGTTTTGTGTAGCGCTCCCGATGCCCGGCAGTCCGTCAACCGCGGATTACCGGATGGACACTTATGTTACGTGCAATTGTATTGTGAAGCAGATTACTCCAGCTGTCCGAGCAGTATGCCTGCGCGATCACAGATATGATCACCGTGATTTTGAGGGATTGTTTGATAGCCTAACACCAGCCGGTCAGGCGATCAAGTTCACCCAGCAGATTCTTGAGAGTAGCGATTTCCACATCCAGCGTTTAGTACTGCACCAGCACACGACGCCGATGTTGAACCAGGAGTACAATTTAGAAGAATACCTGGACGACCTGGCCCAGCTGTATTCTGGTTTGGAGTCGTGCTGTGACTGTATTGTGTGGAAGGACTGCCAGCTGCTTTTAACAGAAGACATTAGCTTTAAATTTCCCATTGTTGTTATCCGTTTAGATACGGTTAATGCTGAACTTCTCTGGGATTTATTTGAGGGGCATCTGGATTGCGGCGACCTGTCTGGTTTGGATAGCGCAGTACAGTGGACAGCGAAAAATGTTAACATCAAATCCCAGGATGGCTGCTGCCGGCTGCTCAAGGTATCGCGTGCGACTCAGCACCAGTTTTCTGCCGGATTATTTACACGTACAAGATAGGGACGCCATTTTTTTGTGCTTATACATAGATTCTGCAAGCATTTAAATTCGGTGATCCACGTTCCTCGGTGTACGGTGCCGCTAGGAGCTGGTTAGTGGACAATAATGTTGGCATCTCATCGTCAGAAGTGAAAGAATTGAGAAAAATCTGTTTGGACAAATTATGGCGGTATATCATGGGCGATACCTACGATACGGACACATCAGAAGACAGTGAAGACAGTCTACACTCCGGGAAACTCTCACTTGAAGGCCATGTTTCATCCGGATCGGAGGAAACCTCAGAGGATGAGCCAAGACCCATGTTGAGATGAACAATGTAACAAAAGCGTACAGCTTTGCTGTTTATCCAAACTTTGATGAGGGTATCAGATAGCTAATTCAGGTTTTTATTGGTAGCGAATTATTCGCTGCAGCAGTGACGGAGTGTGTGCGTAAATCCAGTTATAGAAGAGGTGGAATAAAATCGAAGGGTGTGTACTATCCGCCATGAGAATTAGACACGAGTCATACGACTAATTCGGAGCAGGAACACAGTGAGTAAAGCGAGTGACTGTTAACGTTGCGCGTGCCTCTTTCTGGTCGTAAGACTTCTCCACAAAGATACAAATAAGAACAAAACGATCCGAAGGAACTGAGACTTTATTTATGCTGTCTGGTGTTTAAAACCGTTTTCCAGTACCTAAAACAGTTAAGCGAATTCCGCACACCGCGATTATCGTGCAGTTTGACCTACCCGATTACTTCTGTGCCGGTTTTTTCAAGCAAGCAACAATTTTCTTTTCCTGGCTAAACCAACAAAAAGAAGCACCACTCGGCCAAGCAACTGGCTTCTGAATAATGTTCCGTCATGTATTTGTACAAAAAGGTGCGAAAACACATAAATGCACATACAGCTGGATAATAATGGGCTGAGGGGCGCGGATCACCGGCTTGATATTCCTTTAGGATCTGTGGAAAAAACCGATCACACTGCTGTCATAAACATATGTGACCGGCAAAAATGTCCCCCCTGTCCCCCCGGACATTTTTGCCGTGTCCCCCCTGCCACCATCTCCAAAACGGTAACCCTTTAGTCAGAATGGTGACGTGGGGGACCTACAACGGAAAGCTGATTTTCAGGGCGATCGGTGACCTTTGAAAAACTGCCACCAGCGTTACCACAGCGTTACCAGTCCAAAACAGCTGAGGACATCAGTCACCGAAGGGACATTATTGCCGGAACGAATTTAGTGATGTCCGGCATGGGGGACATTAATGCCGGAACGAAATTAGTGGTGCCCGGCATGGGGGACATTATTGCCGGAAGGAAATTACTAGTATACGGCATGGGGTACATTATTGCCGGAACGAATTTAGTGGTGTTCGGCATGGGGGACATTACTGCCGGAACGAATTTAGTTGTGTCCGGCATGGGGGACATTATTGCCGGAACGAATTTAGTGTTGTCCGCCATGGGGGACATTATTGCCGAAACGAATATAATGGTGTCCGTCATGGGGGACATTATTGCCGGAACGAATTTAGTTGTGTCCGGCATGGGGGACATTATTGCCGAAACGAATATAATGGTGTCCGGCATAGATGACATTATTGCCGGAACGAATTTAGGGGTGCCCAGCATGGGGGACATTACTGCCGGAACGAAATTAGTGGTGTCCGGCATGGGGGACATTATTGCCGGAAGGAAATTACTAGTATACGGCATGGGGGACATTATTGCCGGAACGAATTTAGTGGTGCCCGGCATGGGGGACATTAATGCCGGAACGAAATTAGTTGTGTCCGGCATGGGGACATTATTGCCGGAAGGAAATTACTAGTATACGGCATGGGGGACATTATTGCCGGAACGAATTTAGTGGTGTTCGGCATGGGGGACATTACTGCCGGAACGAATTTAGTTGTGTCCGGCATGGGGGACATTATTGCCGGAACGAATTTAGTGGTGCCCGGCATGGGGGACATTATTGCCGGAACGAATTTAGTTGTGTTCGGCATGGGGGACATTAATGCCGAAACGAATTTAGTGGTGTTCGGCATGGGGGACATTATTGCCGGAACGAATTTAGTTGTGTCCGGCATGGGGGACATTAATGCCGGAACGAATTTAGTGGTGCCCGGCATGGGGGACATTATTGCCGGAAGGAAATTACTAGTATACGGCATGGGGGACAATATTGCCGGAACGAATTTAGTGGTGTTCGGCATGGGGGACATTACTGCCGGAACGAATTTAGTTGTGTCCGGCATGGGGGACATTATTGCCGGAACGAATTTAGTGTTGTCCGCCATGGGGGACATTATTGCCGGAACGAATTTAGTGGTGTCCGCCATGGGGGACATTATTGCCGAAACGAATATAATGGTGTCCGTCATGGGGGACATTATTGCCGGAACGAATTTAGTTGTGTCCGGCATGGGGGACATTATTGCCGAAACGAATATAATGGTGTTCGGCATGGGGGACATTATTGCCGGAACGAATTTAGTGTTGTCCGCCATGGGGGACATTATTGCCGAAACGAATATAATGGTGTCCAGCATGGGGGACATTATTGCCAGAACGAATTTAGTGGTGCCCGGCATGGGGGACATTATTGCCGAAACGAATATAATGGTGTCCGTCATGGGGGACATTATTGCCGGAACGAATTTAGTTGTGTCCGGCATGGGGGACATTATTGCCGAAACGAATATAATGGTGTCCGGCATAGATGACATTATTGCCGGAACGAATTTAGTGGTGCCCAGCATGGGGGACATTACTGCCGGAACGAAATTAGTGGTGTCCGGCATGGGGGACATTATTGCCGGAAGGAAATTACTAGTATACGGCATGGGGGACATTATTGCCGGAACGAATTTAGTGGTGCCCGGCATGGGGGACATTAATGCCGGAACGAAATTAGTTGTGTCCGGCATGGGGACATTATTGCCGGAAGGAAATTACTAGTATACGGCATGGGGGACATTATTGCCGGAACGAATTTAGTGGTGTTCGGCATGGGGGACATTACTGCCGGAACGAATTTAGTTGTGTCCGGCATGGGGGACATTATTGCCGGAACGAATTTAGTGGTGCCCGGCATGGGGGCCATTATTGCCGGAACGAATTTAGTTGTGTTCGGCATGGGGGACATTAATGCCGAAACGAATTTAGTGGTGTTCGGCATGGGGGACATTATTGCCGGAACGAATTTAGTTGTGTCCGGCATGGGGGACATTAATGCCGGAACGAATTTAGTGGTGCCCGGCATGGGGGACATTATTGCCGGAAGGAAATTACTAGTATACGGCATGGGGGACAATATTGCCGGAACGAATTTAGTGGTGTTCGGCATGGGGGACATTACTGCCGGAACGAATTTAGCTGTGTCCGGCATGGGGACATTATTGCCGGAACGAATTTAGTGTTGTCCGCCATGGGGACATTATTGCCGGAACGAATTTAGTGGTGTCCGCCATGGGGACATTATTGCCGAAACGAATATAATGGTGTCCGTCATGGGGGACATTATTGCCGGAACGAATTTAGTTGTGTCCGGCATGGGGGACATTATTGCCGAAACGAATATAATGGTGTTCGGCATGGGGGACATTATTGCCGGAACGAATTTAGTGTTGTCCGCCATGGGGGACATTATTGCCGAAACGAATATAATGGTGTCCAGCATGGGGGACATTATTGCCGGAACGAATTTAGTGGTGCCCGGCATGGGGGACATTATTGCCGGAAGGAAATTATTAGTATACGGCATGGGGGACATTATTGCCGGAACGAATTTAGTGGTGTTCGGCATGGGGGACATTACTGCCGGAACGAATTTAGTTGTGTCCGGCATGGGGGACATTATTGCCGGAACGAATTTAGTTGTGTCCGGCATGGGGGACATTATTGCCGAAACGAATATAATGGTGTTCGGCATGGGGGACATTATTGCCGGAACGAATTTAGTGTTGTCCGCCATGGGGGACATTATTGCCGGAACGAATTTAGTGGTGTCCGCCATGGGGGACATTATTGCCGAAACGAATATAATGGTGTCCGTCATGGGGGACATTATTGCCGGAACGAATTTAGTTGTGTCCGGCATGGGGGACATTAATGCCGGAACGAATTTAGTGGTGCCCGGCATGGGGGACATTATTGCCGGAAGGAAATTACTAGTATACGGCATGGGGGACAATATTGCCGGAACGAATTTAGTGGTGTTCGGCATGGGGGACATTACTGCCGGAACGAATTTAGTTGTGTCCGGCATGGGGGACATTATTGCCGGAACGAATTTAGTGTTGTCCGCCATGGGGGACATTATTGCCGGAACGAATTTAGTGGCGTCCGCCATGGGGGACATTATTGCCGAAACGAATATAATGGTGTCCGTCATGGGGGACATTATTGCCGGAACGAATTTAGTTGTGTCCGGCATGGGGGACATTATTGCCGAAACGAATATAATGGTGTTCGGCATGGGGACATTATTGCCGGAACGAATTTAGTGTTGTCAATCCGGAAAATGTCAATGTCAATCCGGAAAAATGTCAAAATGGGGGGGTCAAAAAAAATGTCAATCCGGAAAAATCGGCTATGAATATCAGATTGCGTTGCGAGTTCGGTGGTTGTCGTTCGCAGTTAGGAGTTTCAGAATAAACTATTGGTAATTCTCAGTAACGTGATAAAAACACTTACGCTTTCAGTTGCTTATTGATTTGTTCCACCTGGCCGCACGTTCGAGGGTGCCGCGGTTTGGCATACCGATGGCGAATGCCAAGCGTCTTTTCCATATCATGGTTTTTATCGTTCTTAAATTCCAATCCTTTAAAGAATTTATTGTTAAATTGATTATAAATGAAGAAAATTTTCTTCTGTTTCGTACACATTCCGAATAAAGAATATACATTTACCGCTGCCTCTCGATGAGAATGCACCACAAAATCTGATATACGAGTGTAACCGTCACATACGAGAATCGTGGCACACGGTACAGTGCGTTTTACCTAACGCGCGCAGTGCCCGGTAGCGAAAAGACAGCGGCAAATCAAAAAGTGGTGCAAGGCCATGGAGCAGCTACTAACTAAATACAAACAAATTTGTAGGAAATTGCTGTCTGAAGAACACCGTCAAAAATCAAGCGTAAAGTTGAAAAAATTTTGCTATCTAAATATATGCGCCGAATGCTATTTAAAAAATATTTGGTAATCAGAAACTTTCGTGAGCTTTAGGTAAACCGTCCAACGCGTACCGTTGTCGGAAATTATGTTTTCTGGAATTCCGAATAAAGAATATACATGAAAAAGCTTTTCCACGATTGTTTCGGCTTTGTTGTTGTGGATTGGGAACGCCATTCTGAACTTGGTGAAGTAGTCTACGATGGTCAACACAAAAAGATTTCCCTGTTTGGTTTCGGGTAGTTCGATCAGGTCGTAGCCGATAAGCGCCCAAGGTCGGCTGGGAATAGCTACG